GGATTACAGGCTTGTGCCACCAGATCTGGCTCTCCTAGTGGTTTTTATTAATGCTCTAGCAGTCAATCGATTTATGAAATCTGTCTTACCTTCATCTTGGAAGATTCAATGTACCTAGAACTACTTTTGGCACCCAAGGGCCACTCAGTAAACACATATGCATGAGAAACTGAACAAAAGCGTTTTCCCATTTTAAATTCCTAATAAGAAAAATAAATTTCTTGCTACCATTCTAGGGTAGCTCTTTAATTTTAATAGGACACCAAAAGCTTTTGATTGCATAAAGTTTGAGAGAGATGGAGGATTTCTTGCTTATTTTTTGTTGCCTAATATGTCAAATAAACTTTTAAGGAAGCAAACAATGATGAAATAGCATTGTAAGAAGGGTTCTGACTCCAGTGGATTAACTTATTCAGTGGAGGTATCCTACTGAAGGCCATCCCATGCATTTGTCTTGGGAAGAGATACAGATAGCCCTTATGTTGATATGAAATCCACCCTTCGGAATGAGTTCCTCTTACCCTTCTTTCTTAGTTCTTTTTCTCTAGCTAGAACATGATACCTGAGACTGGGCTGATTTATAAAGAATAAGTCCTAGTTGAGCTCACAGTTCTGGAGGCTGGGAAGACCAAGAGTGTCGGGGCAGTGTCTGCTGGGCTTCTGGGGCTCCAACTCCAACTCATGGCAAAAAGTGTGAGAGCAACTGGGCATGTGCTGAAGAGACAAAACTCCAGTGACAGCTGTCTTTACAACCACTCTGTCCCACTCCTTTACAAAAGACATGAATCCCACTTAAGGACATTATCACCTCCCAAAGGCCCCATCTCCCAACACCACCGTAATGGCAAGCGAATTTCCATTATGAGTTTCAGAAGGGACAAACCATCAAGCCATAGCACTTGGATTCCAAACCTCAGATTTTACCAAGTGATTTCACTCCATGGGGTCTTCCTTTTGTCCCTTTAGATCCAAATGTCATAAATGATGTAAAAGGAAAATTAGAAAAAGATGGAGAGTCAGCTACTGGCTGTCACATTTTTTTTGTGTGTGTATCGTGAAATGCTATTATTACTTTTCCATTTCAACCTATGGGTTCGTGTGTGTGAGTGTTTGCATGTGTATGTGTGTGTGTGTATGTGTGTGTGTATATGTATCAGTGCAAAAACTGGGACAGGATGCTTAGATTTAGAATAGAGGGTGGAAAGTAAGATAGGGGACAGTAGCTGAAACATTAATGGTGACTAGAGGTCTGGACATACTCTTTGAACTGAACACTTGATATCTGTTGTTGTCCTATGGATGAGTGTCAAGGAAGTGGAGTTACCTACGTTATACGTTTTTAAAATGCATCGTCACAGTTCCTGTGCTAAATCAACTGTTAGTTTTTGTCCTGCAGGGAGAAACTATGTTTGTTTCTGCTCCTGGAGGTGTGAATGTGTCATAGACATAATGAGTGTGATGCACAACTTTTCACAAGAGCCGTACACAAAGAAGAAATGTAACACAGTCACCAAGGCATGACCCATCCAGGACAAGTGGCTTGCATAGCCTTCCCTGGCCTCCTGCTAAGCGAGTTCCCATTCCCTGTCCCACTGTCAAGCAACCTCCCAGCTATTCTCTTTGCTGAGCAAAATGCAACATCTCCCACCAAATTTATTGGCTTGGCAGAGTTGCAAATTTAATTACGCAAAAGTGGAGGCTGAAGAGCGCTAAAAACAGTACACTTTGATACTGTGTAGTATCTGTATTTGGGGCTCAGGGTGTTTTATTTATAGATATCTATTAATACATAGCCAGAGATACAGAAAGAAATACATAAAAAATAACTTTATCAAATAGTTTCTAGCATTCAAGTGTAACATCAAAAGCAAGAAAGGCAACAGCAAACTGTTCTCCTGGGGGGAAAAAAAAACACCATCTTTGTAGCTTCTTCTCTCTCTTCCTGTCCTTTTCCTCTCAGCGGGTGGCTGGCTGCAAAGAGCTTTTTCCTTGGTGTTTAATTGGGGGAGCGCAGTAAAGGCATCTCCATATTTATAAAAACCTCCATATTTATTCCTTTGTCCGGCTCTTTCGCTCCCCCCTCTTCTTCCTGCCTCTCTAATAATGCCTTAAGTGCAGTATCTAGCTTGTAAAACTGGTTTGCTGGGGTTCTCCTCCCTCCCCTTGATTCTTGGGAAAATTTTTCGCTGGGAAGTTGCGAGGTCCTGCTACAGCCGCCTTCTCTGGGCCTGAGTGAGGTTTCCCTTCTTCCTAGAGGACAGGAGAAGTGGGTGCTGCTGCCACAGGTAGAGACGCGGACAGAGGCTGCAGATGCCACCCCCTTGGCCTCAAGGCGCGGGCGTGCTCACACAGACAGACACCTCCACGACTCGGGATTCAAAACATGGGAGCAAGATTATACTTGGAAAGATTACACTTCCAGGTCTGAGATCCTGCACTTTTATTTACAGGTGTCCTTTTACAGACCAAGACCAAGTTGGGGACAGATCGCTGCCCAGTCTTTGATTTTCTAGTTCCAACACCTTCACAGGGTGACAGGACAAGAGGGAGGGCGGGCGGTGGGAAGGCGCTTGGGGAGGTTTTGCTTCACTTGAGCACCTGATGATCACGCATGGCCGGCACCTGCGGGGGCAGCCCCCGCGAGGTGGGGACAAGGCGGGGCAGGGAGCCGGGCTCCCAGCAGTGGTAGCCCAGGCTGGACCCAGGATGCCTGTGCGGGCGGGGGCGGTGGTTTCCGGGGAGGGACTGAAGACAGGTTGGTCCTGACTGCTGCCAGTGTTTGGTCAAATATGCCAGCAGGTTAAAAAAAAAAAAAAAAAAGGTGTGTGTATGTTGGGGGTGGGGTGGAGGTGGGGGCGGGAATCCCTGCCAAGGCACAGTTCCCAGCCACTTTTCTCCCGCAGGGGGAAAGCTTGGATCTTGTGAATGTGACATCAGCTCTTTTCTCCCAGAGGTCCCCTGCCTGAACTGGGGAGGGCAGAGCTGGCTTCCTGCTCGCGCCCAGTTCTAGAGGGAGCCTGGTCTCCCCGGGCGGGCCCCCAGGGCTGGGCTGAGGTAAGCGCGCGGAGGCAGAAGGCCCCGGGACGGGTGGAGGCATCTCCGAGAGTGTGGGTGTGGGTGTGGGAGGGAGGGTTCCTGCCTCTCCCCTGTCCCCAACTTTTACTGTAGTGCCTCTTTTAGGGAACAGATCTCATCCTGGACCTGACCCTGCTACTGGGTCTCCCCCACTGTGACTTCCAGGGAGGTGGAGGGGGACGAATAGATCGAAGTCCACAGCAAATATATCCAAGTTCCACCTTGGGGGCTAAAAAAAAAAAAAAAAAAAAAAAAAAAATCTGTCCTTTAGATTCTAGAGGCGACGAAATGGTTCCCCGGGATCCTCCTGGGTTGTTGAGCACTAGAACTATATCCATGCAAAAATAATGCTGTGTATGTATATGAATGTACCACAGTGAATTCCACCTTTCTGTATATCTATAAAAGCATCAATTAAAAAATAATAACTAAATAGAAGACCCCGTAAAATCGAGACAGGGGGAGAGAGGAAACAGTGAGGAGCAAAATGGAGCAGATTCTATTCCTTGCACCTTACGATTGTGTCTAAATGAACGTCACTATTATGTATAACTATAATGTGCTAATAAAAAAAAATTGAAAAGAAATGCTGGGGGAAGAAAAAGAAAAAGAAATGCTGGAAATCCCCCTCTCCTTCCCAGGAAAAATTGTAGTAAAGGCTCCATCTGAGATGGAGGAAGTGCAGCCTAGACCCTAAAACCTGGACATAGACCTCTTCTCTGTGTGCAGGGAAGAAAGTCTGATTTGATTCTGTCTCCCTGCCTTCCCTAGGAGAACTTAGGTGCAGATATCCACTCTGCCTCTGGGTGCCTCTGTTTTCTCACCTGAAAAAATGGTGCTGATTGGAAAAGCCAATGTGTTACATGTTTGTTTTGCTTTATTCATTAAGGCTCATGGTCACTTGCACCTTAACTACCCTGTGGGCACCTTGAGGCATGTGCATGTGGTGGTGGTGTGGTGGGGGGGGGTGGGGGGGGTGGGGGGGATATTTTGAGGTTAAACAGACAGGAAAATACATTATTAAATAAGGTATTACCTGATCCCTTTATCCAGTGTGGGCATTTCCTCCATCCCAACACCATCCCTAATGCATTCACATACCTCTACAAGAACACCCTTTTACAAATGAGGAAACCAGAGGAATACGTTTTTTTGAAGAACAGACTCAGGAAAGCAGTCTTTGTGAAGACAGTAAGTGGGACATGTGGAAGTGCACCCTCTTTTCTATTTCAGGCACGCTTGCTGCCCTTCCTTGGCCCTGGCCACAGATCTGGTTTCCTTCTGTCATTTAGAAGCCAGGGCTTTTACTTTTCTTCCTAGTAGAACATCAACCCCTGCAGCTCTTCATCTCCCCCTGGTGTTTGTCTCCTGCCATTTCGGATTGTTGGTATTGACAGTAGGGGGAGTTGGAAGGGGAAGCAATGGGGGAGCACAGAGAAGAAATTATGGGGGCTTCTAATCAGTGATATTGGGGGAAAATGGGATAGGTGCCTGACAGGGCTCTATGTTTTTTTTTCTTCTAAATCTCCCTTTCCTTGCCAATCCCTCACGGACCTTTCTTTCTCACTGTAGATGCAAAGAATATGAGTCAAAAAATAAAGAAAGACTTGGGGGGGGGGGGCTTGAGTAAGAGAGAAGCAGGTTGATGCCAAAATAATTTGACCCAGAGTCTGGGGGAGCCACGGGGGAGGGTGTCCCCTTGTTTGATCAGGAGTAAGAAATCAGAGAGACATAAAAGGAAAACGAAGTGAACAATGAAAAAAAAAAATCCCCCCCCCCCCCCCCCCGCACACAATACAATCTATTTAAACTGCAGCTCATACTTATCATACCAATGGTATGACTTTTTTTCTGGAGTCCCTCTTCTGATTCTTGAACTCTGGGGCTTGCAGCTTGCTAAAGGGGAAGCAGACTCCGGCCCTGCACGGGCAGGTTTACCAAAGGTCTCTAATGGGTATTTTCTTTTTCTTAGCCCTGCCCCTGAATTGTCAGACGGCGGGCGTCTGTCTCTGAAGTCCGCAGTGATTTCCTTTAGAGCGCGGCCTTATCTCTGGCTGCACGTTGCCTGTTGGTGACTAATAACACAATAACATTGTCTAGGGCTGGAATAAAGTTGGAGTTGTTTACCCCCACTCTATAGGGGTGCAATATAAAAAGCCGGCCCGAGAGCTGTCCAAGTCAGACGCGCTTCTGCCTTGGAGCCGGAGCGAGCGAGCGAGCGGGTCCGGGTCTCCGCTGCTGCTGTCCCTGCGCTCGGCCGCCGCGTGCGCTCGCAGAACGCCTCTCCTGCCTTCTCGGCTGGCAGAAAGGGCTTTTATTTTCATTTTTTATTTTTTTTTGCCTGTGAAAGGGCACTTAAGCTGGAAGGATCGCTTTGAGATCTGAATAGCTAGAAGCGCTTCTAGGGAACCGAAGCTCTTTTCTTCTGAGTTCAGTTCGCGAAGGCGGTTTTTTTTTTGGTTTATCCTCTTTTTTTTCCAGAATGGATTATTTCCCCATGATTTTCTCTCTGCTGCTGGTGGTTTTCCAAGGAGCTTCAGAAACAGGTAGGCACGGCCGACTCGGGAATCTGGGAAAGCGAATGTCTTCTGATCCACCTTCCTGACGTTCTTGCGTCTGTTTTCTCCCCTTCACTTTATTATTGCGGCTCAGAGAGCAAAAGTATCTGGGAAGGCTCGCTCCACGGTATTGAAGTTTCTAGTGAAAAAAAAAATCGATTCAAGATCAATAGCTTTCAAATGACTTTTTAAAATTGTTATTGCAAATTGTATTTTCTTGACTTTAAAAAAAATAACTCAAGAAAAAGTGAAGGAGCAGCTGCCGTTTAGCCAAACGTACAGTTTGCAATACGTGTGTTCATACAGGTACATGGTTTGCTCAGGATCTTATTATATCTTATTTGAACACTGCCTCAATAGTGTGTTAATGTGTAAAGTATTTAAACATTCCAGCTTCAAGCCAAGGAATTTTATTCAAGTCACTCAAGCACTATGTGAGCTGTGAAATCACCTGCAGAAGGACAGTGTGTGGAATAACCCCCTAGGCGGTTTCAGGATGGAGCAGATGTTTTCTTTAAAATTTGTCATTATTGACTTTAGGTTTCTTTTGGCAGATTTTTGGCACCCCAAACAGTGTGAGCTCTATTTTCAGTTGTATTCACCTGTCCTGGGAGGGAAGCTGGGATAATTCTTAGCTGCTTAAGGATTTAGACAGTATGTGTGCATCTTTTTTTTTTTTTTTTAGGGTCAATGCACTTTTTTTGTCTTTTCATGACCCTGACCAAAGAGAAAGGGACGTCAAGGGAATGAAAATCCTGGAATGTGTCTGATCATTTGAAATGTACAAAATCAGGCAGATAAGCTGCATGGCCAGATTGTCTGTAAGAAGAGGCAATGCTGAGTTAGGGAAGAGGGAGATGTACATCCCACCGTCACGCTGCAGAGGGATTGTGGATTCAAAGTCCTCAGAACCTTTCCTAGGTCTCTTAAGTGGCTTCTTGGTCAAGGCTTCTGTGTTTTCCCACCTGAAATGAATATTGCAGAGTTAATTTCTCTGCTCTCTCTAATCATGCCTCTGATAGATTTCAAGTGGTCTGTATCATACTATCATATATCATCTGGACCACTCTACTATGTGCCCTGTATAAGGTATAAAGTGGTTGGTACCTCCTAAAGGGAAGCACACCCTGTGTGGGGAAGTGGTCCCAAAGACAGGAATAGTCAATGTTTTAATTGTCATCAGCCAATTTTAAGCCACCCTGGGTTGTGCTGTCTTATGAAGTTCCAAGCAGAAGCCAACTCAAATTTCAGGTAGAGAGTATTTTGAAGCATTTCCTTGAAGGGTTCTTCCAGGGGGCTGGTAAGTCCCTGTTCAGGTGTTTATCTCTTGTGCATTTGTATAATCTTCCTGCAGGTGGATAAGCCAGCCAGGGTAAAGGTGAAGTCATGTTAAGGAGGAAAAAAAAGAGAAAGAAAGAAACCCTTTCCTTCTGTTGTGTTTTTGGCTAAGAACAGTGGTAACCTTCATCTGCTCTGATCTGCTGTGCTAAATCTGGTGTCAATACTGTGATCCAGCCTGACTCTGGGCATCGGAGGAGACGTCCCTCACTGACCTGCTTTTTCTCTCCTCTCTCTCTGCAGCTGTCTTGGGAGCTGAGCTCATGGCCGGGGCTGAAAGTGGAGGGGACAAGTCCCCTCCCAACACAACCTTGAGGCCCCACCGGTTCAAGCGCTGCTCCTGTTCTTCCCTGATGGATAAGGAGTGTGTCTACTTCTGCCACCTGGACATCATCTGGGTCAACACTCCCGAGTGAGTCTCTAGAGGGCATCGTAACTCCAGTCTTTCCTTAACATTGACTACCCCAGAGCCCCGTTACCAGCATTCCTGTGCTGGGGAGTACCTGGCTTAGGATCCGAAGGCACCCCTTCTGACAATGGGGAAGTGCATTAGTGGACACGATACTCAGACAGGACAGCTTGATTCTTAACAGCTGAGAAGAGGGTCTCCTGATGCCCTGTGGCTCAGGCCACTCATTATGGGATAGAAAGAAGGGCTGATGACAAGCCACAAGCTTCTGAGCACTGCAGACGAGAAACTAAGTGAGGAAGGTCAGCGGTGGGTGCAGACTGGGTCTGGGGAATACGTTGCCCAGGTCCTGTGTGGGTTAGGCCCACCTCTGCTTCTCATAGGAGGGTTCAGGGTCAGAGGAAGAAGGGATCGCAGAGAGTTAGGATCCGATGCTTTCATTTTACTTACAGAAAAACTAATATCCCAAATACTGATGTCCCTTGTACAGGAGTAAGTTTGTGGCAGAATTAGAACCGGATCCTGGATCTCCTTTTTCTGTACTTTCTCTTTAGAAAAGCCTATTTTAAGACAAAAATAGAAATACCACCCTTGGGTGTCTCTTCCCCTTCTAAGAGTAAAGAAAAGCTGTGTTCTCCCTTCTGTCCTGAAAACCAGTTTATCCATCAGAAGTAAAAAGTGAGCACATTGTGGCCTATGTTATGTCAAGAGATGACCAAAATCCAAACCAGACTGAACCAAACCACCATGGGCCTTGTACTTCCTTAGTGAGGTGGTTCTTCCAAAAAGAGAACTTTATTCTTTAGGTGAGAGTCAAAATGGACCCCTTGCAAATTCTTGGCAAACCTTCTGACATAAGTTCTACTGCCATGGGGCTTCACCAAACTCCAAGAGAAATGTGCAAACTTGTGCCTCCTTCCCACAGCAGGGGCACTTTTACCATTATCCTATAATATCGAAATTGAAAATAGAGTTTAAAAATCATATAAATCCTGGTTTTGCCTTAAGATCTCTGCCCTTTGCTCCTCCCCTTGAGCAGCTATTACCTTAAGAGCATTTTAGAAAAGGAAGAAAATATGAAACAGAAACAAGAACAGAGATTTCATGATTTGGGACAAAAACAAACAAACAAACAATGTTGCCTAGATGGAAAAGAAATTGAACTTTGTTAAGAGTTGAGATGACCCTTCATTGAATCAGGAAAACTGGTTTTCCCTTGGGTGGGCGTACACCCTCAGGTCAATGACGGGCATGTGTCCCCGGTGGTTGCCACACTGTACATTCTTCAGTAACTCTTCCCAGGGCTGGGTGACTAGCTCCCTGTGTGTCCTGTGGAATGGGTTTGCCCCAAAGAGTGTGCCATTAGGAAGACTATTAATTATGCTGATGTTTCTCTCTTTCCACAACAGGCGCATTGTTCCCTATGGGCTCGGAAGCCCTTCCAGGTCCAGACGATCCTTGAAGGACTTGTTTCCCATAAAGGCAGCAGAGCACGGGGGCAGATGCAAGTGTGCCAGCCAAAAAGACAAAAAGTGCCAGACCTTCTGCCAATCAGGGAAGGATCTCAGGTGAGTAGAAGCACCTCTGCTCCCTCAGTGCATTGTGCAGCCTCCTGGCTTCCTCCCCGAGGAGGCTCCTTTCAGAGAGAATTGCAGGGGTGTGGAGGGTCAAGTTGAGTCTGAAGGTTCCACTGCTGAAATGTGTTTTCCTGGGTGTTTTCACAGGGCCCAAGACACGATGGAGAAGGCCTGGAATAACCGTAAGAGAGGAAAAGACTGTTCCAGATTTGACAAGAAGTGCATCTATCAGCAGCTGGTGGCGGGAATAAAAATCAGAAGGTAAGATGCTCCTAAGAACAGTTGCCCTGCTCACCGGTGCCCACGGCGCGCGTGGCAGTCCCTCCTGCCCACGTTTGGGAAAGGGCTTTGGATACAGCGGCAAAGGGGCTCTTCATAGGTGTCCCTTAAAGAGAGCGAAGAAATCCCTTTCAAATATTTTGATGAAGCCCTCAGTACTTCAGCAAGTAGATTTTCCCAAGCAAAATAAACCCCGAGACACCTCTGTTGTTTGACCATGTCCAGTCTTTGCCTGAGTACATGTATTTGCTTCTTTCCTTGAGAAATTAAAAAAAAAAAACAAACAACACTTCAAGGAGAGGACTTTTTTTTTTTTTTTTAAGTCCAAGAGCCAGATACAGTCAAGTTCTTTCAAAAGTGGCAGTTATTCAAATGGCCAGAGGGACAATAACATCATGAGGAAGGGCTGGTGAGATTTGAAACATGTTCGTTTTTTCAGGTTCTTCTTCTTATTTTTTTAAATAGAGGAAGGCATTTGTGGAAAGTCAACGTTGTTCCCAGAGTTCTCTCATTTCTTAGTCTGTTGTGGGCTGGGATGGAGGAGCCATCTGGATGAAGCAATCTCGTGGGGTTGCTATGGGCAACTCTGCAATGATGACCCTTCTGAGTCCTGAAGGTTTTGGAACACTCAAGCCTGAGGGAAGCAGCTTAGGTTCAGATCTGTCACATGTCCTTCATATCCCTATTATGGTCTCTGGAAACTTTTCCTAGAAACCCAAGGACAAGGAGTTCTGTGATCAAAGTGTTCAGAAGCCAGGCTTGGCAGTGCTGAGCCACTTCTGGCTTGTTTATGACTGACGTGGAGGACAGCTCAGCCAGTGTTCCTTCTCACCTGCCATGGGGCACACTCTGTATTTATCTCAGGCCAGGAGTGCCCTCTACTAGACCACAGGGGCTGAACTGACCTGAAAAATGATTTTTTCTAGTAGTTTGTACCATGTCCATGGTTACATCAACATAACAACTCTTTCCTCTTTTTTTTTCTTGCAAACAAACAAGCCCAATATTTAAAAATTGCCATATTTTCTTTGAGCCTACCCAGATACCTTTTCTTTTTTCCTTTCTTTTTGACTTTTGTCTTCAATTTATCATGTGATTTAGAAGATTCCTCTAACTATTGTGCTAAGTTTCTCCATAGTAGCAGAGGTGGAAACGAGGCTACAGAAAATATTCAAACATCCCTGGCTTATTTTAAAATCGTATTTAGTGGCCAATTCACCTTAGACATGACTGTATGAACTCTCTCCCCGTTTTTAGGCAAAAGGGCAGGCTTTATTTTCACAATGGTAATAGATGCCAGTTGAGGTTTTATCGAAAACCTGTTTATCACTGTTGTGGTCCATGGTGAAAGTTCAGGAACCAGGTCTAGATTTGTTTGTGCCAAACTCTAATTTTAGAAATTTCTTGGGCCAAGGAGCGATTTCTTCTTTATTTTTGTAACATTTTTTTCCCCTTCCGTCTTGTTTTAATAGGTTGGATGCCATCAGAAACAGTATCAAAACATCTTTTCGTGTTGCAAAGCAAAAAGCCCAATCTTCCAGAGAGAAGAATGTGACCCACAACAGAACACATTGATTACAAATCTTCTGGGCCCGTGTGAAGCCATCGCCTCCAGAGAGAGAGAGTCCCGTGGCTGACACTCTTCTCCTACCGCAGTGGCTGGGATCAGAGCAAGAGAACCTTCCCTGCCTAGACTACTTCTACTCCAGACTGGCAAAGGACCAGCGTCCTCATTCTGAACATTCCAAGAAAGGTCTTCATTGGCTCCATTGGTGGTAACTGCTTTTGTGTCTCAGGTCTTTGGGAAAGACAAGGGACTGCTCAGAAAGCAGAGACACCGTGACACCCGTGACATCCGAATGGGGTGGTATGCTCCAGATGGAGGAAGGAGATTCCACACCAGGGTGGAGTTTCTGAAGAAAGTCCTAAGGGAGAATTTGTGTCTGACTCAGGCATCGGGCACATTTCAGGGAGAAACTCCAAAGTCCAGGCAAAGATTTTTCTAAGGACTGAACAAATTGAAAACAAACTCGAAGGACAAGTAAAGAAGAGGGGGGGAAAAAGACTTTGTTTTTAAGTCATAAAGTGCAAAAGTGAAAGAAACTGTTACTACTGTAAATTGGGATGAGTTTCATGAGTATGAGTCTACCTCACCTATCTTGCACTCCGGCAGATGTACTTTCCACTTTTAATTCTCGCCTCCCCAAATTTTTCCCTTCCTCCCAGCACCCTCAACTTCCCATGGTAAATCCTGGTCCCATTGATGTCTGGTCCCATGTGTCAGGGGTAGATAAACATTCCGATGCTTATCTTCTAGCTCTGATCCGTAAGAAGATGACCCTTCAATGAGGAGACTCCCTTACCTTGAGTTTGGGGAACACAATGGTATAGGGTTGTTTATGAAAGATACAGGGAAGGAGATGTTGGTTCTGCTTTAAAGCAGTAAAATTATTTTCTTTTATATAACCGACGAATGGAAGAGGTTAGATTGAATTCTGATGTACTTATTTTTTTATAGATATTTATATTCAAACAATTTATTCCTTATATTTACCATGTTGAATATATGTCTGGGCAGGCCATATTGGTCTATGTATTTTTTTTAAAATGTGTATTTCTGAATGAAATCGAGAACATGCTTTGTTTTGCCGGTCAAGGTAATGATTTTAGAAAATAAATATTTTTTTCCCTACTGTACTGAATTTTGAATCATTTCTGAAACTCTTGAAGAGCGGGCCAAGGGGGAGAAGAATTACCAAGGGAAATGGTTCAAGATGGTTTCCTAGAAAGGGGGCAGGAGGAGGAAAGGAGACCAGGCTGATCCAGAGAGATCGTGGTTTATGTCTTAAAAGTTGCTTTTAGATGGCGTCACAGCAAAATCAACACAAAATGAAAAAAATAAAAATAAATAAAATAAAGCAGCTTTAACTTCTCTGTCCTCCCTTGGATGTTGTGTCCTGCTTCCCCGTCACCTGAAAAACTCTCCAGGGACTTTATCCATTAACGTCACTCCTCCAGCTATGGGACAGGATCCAGGTGGTGATAGGTGCTTTCTCCATATTAATGGGCTGGCGGAAGTAATGGAAAGACGACCCCTCGCAAGACACCCAGTGTCACGCCGTTCAACATTGCAGTCACTCCTGGAAATGGCCCATCTGTCAGAGCCAGGAGAGAGCAAGGTTCCTGCTGGCTTCTTATTTGCTCAGATTAAGAATTTTGTTTATTGAGGAACATTGAGTACCGTGGCTTCTTCATGGTAGTGCAGGACTGGCCAGGTGCCCGTGGCAGCAGAGACACCAGGTGCTGGTCCTGAGTCACCTGCCCTGCAGCACCACTCTCCTCTCCACTGCAGGCCTCCTCTGGCCTTCCAGACCGTTGGAGCCAACAGGGTTGTGAATGGCCATTACCCACAAAAGCTCCTCCGAGCTGGGAAGGCCTTCAGAAGCCTCACCGCCTTCTCGAAGAGTGGCTGACAGGAGGCCAGCACTCAACAGGCATTAGCTCCTGGAGATCACTGATCAGTGCCCCAGCAGGGGGACCACCCTCAGGTTGGCAATTCTCATCCCCCTTGGCCCACTCTTATCTGTTTAATGAGGCGGTGGGGGGATTTTTCTAACAGCTCCCCAAAATGGTCTGAGGTTACATGAAGACGTTGAAGGGGCACAAAGAAAACAGACCCCAACTCGGGGATAAAACATGGACCCTGGGATGGGAGGGGCGCTGAGTAGAATAGTTCCAAAGACCACACAGCAAGGAAGAGCGGTGGAGTTGTTTTGCTGGTTTGTTTTCATCAGCCCGACTTTTCCATCTCTCTCCCTGTGCTCCTTGCAAGGAAAATGAAAGGTGTCTGGCAGCTCCCGAGGACTTGAGGACCAGCCTTAAATTGCATTGGGAGGATCTTCAGAAACTCCTATTTTCCAAACAGAGCAGAGAGTCCACAATACTCAAGGGCCATACAAAGTGCGGGGTGAGCTGACGGGCTGGTCTCTCACTCTCCCTGCTGTTTTCCCAGTAAAAGCCCAGTTTCTGGAAGCCCCCTTCGAACAGATTTCTCCCTTCACACTAATGGCCCAGCAGAGCTTTGATCTCCGGACTCCAAGCACCAGCAGACCCTGAGCCCCTAGTGGACCCCGGGCAGGGAGAGGTGACCTTTGGCAGGAGGAGTGGGGAGAGGACCCCACTAATGGGAACTCACTTTCTCCCCAGGGATTGTCTTCTTTTATGATAGGAACTACAGGCTTAACCACCTGTGCTTTCCCAAAACAATTTAGGGAATTATACTAGAGTTGCCCCAGGAAGACTCTTGCTCATGTAGAAAAACAGAAAAACTTTAATTTTTTCCCTGTGAAAAAGCCAAGGTCCAGAGAGGGAAGTGATTGACCGAAGATCATACAGTAAGCTGTAAGCTGTGGCATCTCTGGCGACAGAACTCTTCAGTTCTGGAGAGCTTGCTGTTTCACCCAAAGGCACCTAGAGGTCAGTGGAAACAGATGTCCAAGCAAACCTTCATGAAGGGTTCTGTGTGGTAAAATGCAAAAGCACTCTATGAAAGCTTGGCCTCCCAGCCTTACTGATAGTGGTTGGGAGACTCATCTCCTCAAGATGAAAGAGAAGAATCAGGGCTGGGGGTGCAGCTCAGGAGTACAGCCCACGACTTCCTGTTCAAACCCCAGCCCAGCCAAAATAAAAATACAGGGAAAGAGAAAAGGGGCTTTGAGAGGCAAACACACCTTACTGCATCATTCAGTAAATTTCTACAGGCAGAAGAGAGTACGATTAGGAACTTCTAATTATTATTGTTTTAGATTTAATTACCAAATGATGACTCCATAATATAAGTGAAAGAGAATTCTTTGGGTCATTTCTCTTTCATTCTGTAGGGAAGGGCCAATGTGTTTTACAAAATTTCCATGTCTAAAATCTTCAAAAATGCTTTTCAAGCCAAGTTCTCAATGTGCAAATCTGTGCTGTTTCCATATCGTGTTCTCAGTGGGGTTCCTCCCACCCTGTCTTCCTCCCTCATTTCCACTCAGTCTGGGGTCCTGAGTCTGAAGCTCAGGACAGCAAGTGTCTTTGCTCCCGTGACCTCCCGGGTTTAACCACAACCCCGCATCTTTGTAGAGAACTTGGTTTTCCATGATCTTTCCACATTCCTTCTCCCATTTGACCCTTCACCACACAGTCCTTTACAGGAAGTTGGGACCACGTTATTTACCCATGGGACAGCCAAGGACAGGGACGTCTGGAAAGGGTGAGTGACTTGTCCACAGTCCTCCATCATCAGACGAACAGCAAAACTGAAACTCAAAATTCCTGACACCTTTTTCTTAAATTTACTGCACCAGAGGCATAGCATGGGTACTAGGGACTGGAGAAATGTAGATTCTTTCCAGATTGTCCATGAGCTTAGTGGAAATTAGTTTTTTTATTTTATTTTATTTTTTCTGGGGCAGATCAATGCTCTACATGTCCTCTGAGCCCTAGCAGTACAAAAATTTCACTTGCATAACATTGGGCGAATTAAGTCCTCCTTATTATGATGACGCACAGTTGGTAGAGAGCTTGCTGTAATGTACCGTGTCTGTCTCTGAATCTGGCACCAGGAAGGACATCGGAAGAAATTACATCGATGCCTGTGACGGCAGGGGCTGTCCAGTTCCCTTCAACCCCGGGCAATAATCAGAAGAAGAGTTGGAACTGGTGCCACTGGATAATGAAAAGAGAAGGGCCTAGGCCTGGGGACACCAGATGATGGAAATGATGGATCCCAAGAATGACAGGTTGCCCACAGCTGGAAGCGGCGACACATCAGGAATCTGACATGCAGCTTTACTGGCTCAGGAGCTTCCGTGTCTCTGTATTCTGTTCTATTTATTTATTTTTTAAATATTCTGAGTAATCCCAGGCCCCTTCTGCCCAAATTGCTGTGGAAATGTCCAGGGGTGGTGTTTGCAGTATTAAGCTATTGGCATGGCATGGCATGGCATGGGCCCTGATCAGTTGGAACAGACTGGGACAGAGCTGTGGTGAGACTCCTGGTAATTCCAGCCAGACCAGGTGTTAACCCTCCAGATGTTGGCTTGTGAGGAGGGCTTATGGCTTGAAAAGGGGGCAGCCAGGGTGACATTTCCAGGGTCCTTTCTGCTATGGATATTTACCAACCGGGAAGAAATCATTTTAGTATCCTTCAAGCTGGAATAGGCTCCCTGGGGTGTCCCCTTGTATGTCAGACTCAGAGAAATCAAACTGTTCTCTGCTTGATGAGTCACCTTCTTCACAGCATCACCAAGTGCAATGACATTATCTGGATGCCAACAGAAGTTTGGAGTCATCTTTTTCTGCCCATGCACCTTGTCACCTTGTTGTGCATTGTCCTCTGCGGTGCATGTGCCCCTCACCCATGCTGTGCGCTCCTTTGCTCTAAAATCTTCTTTGTCTTCTTGAAGATTTTTTAGCAGGGCAATTTTATGGTTATCAAACCCAAGGTTTGCCTAAGAGCACGGTTTGCTAAGGCCCTAGGTCTGCTTTAGGAAGAGACACGAAGAAGCTGGCTGTATGGTTGAGTCTTGCTCTCTCATATCCACTTTGTCACAAAAGGGTGACCAGATAATTTATTATTTAAGCTGATGATGCACTTAACAATTTGATGATGCACTTAACAATTCCCACGGGACCAAAAGCTGCTGTGGGAAAACTGGGACACAGAGGATGGAAAGCCTTGAAGCAGGTCAGAATCTCAGAACCACCGTGGTCTCCTGGAGATGCCCTGGACCTGGGCCCTATTTCAGCAGAGTCAATATCTAGGTACCTTTATCTGCATACCAATCTAGGGCAGATAAACTTCACCTTCCCTAGTGCCTCCAGGCGTAAGCACAGAGCTTAGGGCACAACATGTCCATCAATAAATGCCTGTTCAATTAGTTAATAAATATATAGATAGGTTCAGTAAAAGGGAGATAAAGATGATATTCCTCTGGCTAATTGGGACTAGGCTTCCAAATATTTGTAAGAACTCCATGCAGGACTCTTGTTGGAAAATTTGTGTAGCCAAAATTTCTTTATTCAGAATCATGGTGTGGCTTTTTTTTTTCTATTTCTCTCTACTCCAAGCCATTCTGCATAATAATGTTCTTAATTAGATGCTTCAAGTATCATTCCAATGAATATAGAGGAGATGGAAAGAACTTAACATAAGTAATGTCATCTCCCCTTCTCAGAGGTTGTTCAATGTCATTCTCTGCTTCTAGAAAAAAAAAATGTCTTATACCAAGACAGGAACCAGGCTGGGAAGAAAGATCAGAAAGTATTAGAATTTCTACACGGACATACGGAGTGTTTAATTTTTCTTGTGGGTATCTTCACACATATTCAACAGTGAACAGAGCAATATTGTAAATGCAATATACCATCACCCGGTTTTAACAGATGTCAACACATGATTGATGACATTTCATCTCTACCAACTTCCTGACCTCCCTGGGTAACTTTGAAGCCAATCCCAAGTATCATTATCATCTCATCTGTAAATATCTCAGTGTAGGTGTAATGAATTTGATATGCTTTATTCAACCAATTATAATGTGGAATAGTTGGATTATGTGGGTCTAGGGCTAATAGGGAATGAACAAGAAATGTTCCCAAGCCTCATGGAACTTGTAATAATAAACAAAGCAAAATACATAAGGTAGCTGACATTT